GGGGGCGGGGGTCGACAGAGTCGGCCGCATACAGGCACTAGCAACAATTCTGCCACAAGAGAGAAGCCAGGGGACCATGGAACCATAGAAGAAAGAGAACCCGGCCCTAGGCTGATTGGTGCACGGCATGCTTGGAATCAGATAGACCCGGAGTCCAGTTCTTGCCCTGCCTTTCTTGAGCCTCGGTTTCTCTGCCTGTAAAATGGATATAATTATTTTGTGAGGTGCTTTGAGAAGTGAATGAGGTAAGGTATGAAAGGAGCCTAGTTAGTGTCTGGGACGTAGAAAGTGTTCCAAAGTTATTTTCATTGCCCCTTAATGAGTAGGAATTTTGCAGATGGAGGGTGTGAGGGAAAGGCAGAAAAATAGGCCAGCATGTTTGGGGCAGGGCTGAGGGTCCTGGCGTGACTGAAACCCAAGCAACAGTGAGAAATGAGACTGGAGCAAGAGTGGCTGGGGCTTGATCTGAGAAGGGCCTTTGAGTGCCGCTCTTGAGACACTGGGGTTGGGGTGGGGTTCTGGGGAGAGTTTTAGTCGTTTGGAAATGGCAGTGATCAGTTGCGATTAAAGTGCCCTCTCCTGTAGTGCAGGAAATGAACAGGGGAGGCTGTAGACCAGAAGGGCAGTGGGGAAGCTGTGGGAGGGACCTGCTGAGTGGTAGAGGGAGTGGAGACAAGACCTGATTCAGAGAAAAAGCAGAGGAGCAGGTCAGCCCCACGAGTATATGTGGTGGAGTGGCTTGACAGATGTGGAACCCAGGGGAGGTGGCGGCAACTCGTGTGTTGGTGGAAAGACGGATTTCTTGGGCACAGCTTGAACAAGCCAGCAGTGGGAGCACAGCGTAAGAGGAGACAGAGTCTCGCTTGGAGGTCTTTACCGTATCTTCATAGGGGAGGGGAGAATGACTGAAGTCACAATCACAGGGCAGTGTGTGACAAATGCCTCTTATGGAACCTAGAAACACTTCCATTTGTTCGACCTGCTCAAGGCCATAGGCGTAAATCTTGAAAAAATGGCACTGAGCCCCAAGGCTGGAGTTGACCAAGAGTAGAAGAAAAGCATTTCAGGCTGAGAGTCCGGCATGTGGTGAGGCCTGGAGGCTGGAAAGAGTGCCTTTTAGGAAACTGAGGGAAGGCTAGTGGCGTGTCATGTGAATGGGAGGACACAAAGGCTGCTATGTGCAAAGGTGAGGAGGTGGAAACAGTTGTATTATTTTTGGGCAAACAGGAGTGCAGGCAGGTGGATGCTGAAGGTGCCAGTGAATTCTTGCATCCTGTCCTCAGGGTGCTCTTGGAGGCAAGACTCCTGCTGGCTTGGAAGATTCCAGGTCAGTGTGTGTCCTGTACTTGCTGCAGCAGGATCTCCAGGGAAGGAGGCCTGGGCTAGAACCTGTGGCCAGAGCTTGGGCTGGGAGGCTGGAGACCTGGGTTTGGGCCCCTCCTCTACCACTAAATTTGTCAAGTGTCCTTGTTTAGGTTTTAGTTTCTGCATCATGAAATGGAGATGGCGGTCAGGTCCTGTTTTGCTGACTTCACTTGAGTATTTGAGGCTCAAGTGAAATCGCAACATGTAAAAAGGTGTTATTTCTATGCTGTGAGAAGTAAGATATCATTGTCAGACTTCGGATCGCCAGGGCCTGTTTGAAACATTCAGATCTCAAGTTCATCTACTTGAGCACATTTTTCCTGTGTACTTTCCTGGGGCCTGGCATTGGATAGGACACAGAGGGGAATCAGACCTAGTCCCTGGCATCAAGGAGACCCAAACAAGAGATGGTGTCCCAAAGCCAGTGGTCTCAGGACAGCCAGGCTGCAGTGCAAGCTAACGTGGGACTATGCCAAGTTCAGCCCTTCCCTCCTGTGCTGTCACTGTTGGCAGTGTCTGCCTCTCCGCTGGACCAGGAGCTTCCCAGGGGCAGGAACCTCATTATTCTATGACCCAGTGTGGCCCTGGCTTAGCATAGAAACTCAGTCCACAGTGAAATTACCAATGTACAATGCAGTCATGGAGGAGGAGGGAATGGCAAGTTAGAAAGGCCAAGAGGAGATGACTTTGCTGGGGGACCTGAGATGATGAGTCTGATTCTGCAAGGCAGAGGGGATTGGACAAGGTGTCAGGCAGGGGTTACAGCATGAGCAAAGGCCTGGAGGTGGGAGCCGTGAGCACCCTGGTGTGGCTGCAAGAAGGATGTAGGCAGAGGAGGGGTAGGAGATGAGGCTGGAGAGGCTAGCAGAGACCAGATCCGAAAGACCTGTGGTCCCACCAAGAAGCTTGGGCTTCATCCTGGCGGGGTGGGGGTGGGTGGGGGGGGTGGACCTAAGGAGGGGTGTAAGTAGCAAAGGCTCCTTGGTCAGATTGGTGGGTTAGAAAGACCATCTGGGTGGTGGTGTGGAGGTGGGGTCTTGGGGAAGAGGGCCATAAAATTTAGCCCCCAATTTGGGCCCCTCACATCCACCAAAGGATGCAGAGGGTAGTCCAAGGGCGAGAGGCAAAATCCCTTGCTTCTGTGCCACCTCACAGGGTGAGCAGCCAGCCCCAGGCACCCTGACTTCTGCAACCCTCCCACTCCTTGGCCTCCAACTGACACGCCCATGGCTACTGCATAAACAGCTTGGATTTGGATAGAAAACCAGACCCCGAGTTAGAGTAGCCCACAGAGGAATCTTTCTGTGCCTGAGTCTGCTCTCCCCCCCCGTATGAGGTGGGCATGGGGGCTCATGCCAGGCCCTGACTTCTCCTGGCCCCCTCCCCTCACAGCCAGGCCTCCCTAGATTCCTGTAATGACCCTTCTTGCAGCTGTGTGGGGATAGCTGTGAGAATGAGTTCTGAGACTTCACCTTTCCTTCATCATCGCCTAACCCAGCCCACAGGTGCTTTAGCCAAACCAGAGATGAGGTCAAGTCACACCTCCGAGAAAGGTTTGACCAGGTGGACTTTATTAGGGGTGTCCTGTCCTGGTACCCCCTTCAGTCGCTGGTGTTGTCTGGACATTAGGGATTACGTGTGGAGCTTTGTCGTTTGTGAGGGGGTTGAGACATGCAGCCCTGAGACACTTTATAGCGATGGTAGCCTTAGTCCCTCTGATGCACGGATGAGGAGGGTAGGTGGCCAGCCTACAAGGCAGAGAGGTGACACACTAAGGGAGGCATAAGGAGACAGATGCAAACGTCCTGACCCTGCTCTCTGCTAGACCCTGGCCTGTGTGAACCTGCCCAGTCCTCACAGCAACCCCGCAAGGGGTAATCACCACCTACTCTTTCCAGATGAAGGGCAGAGAAATGAAATGACTTGTCCTGGATCACACAGTGAGTGAGTACTAAAGCTGTGAGCTACACCCACGTCCTACCAAACCTCAAACCCATAGGCTTTCCCTGCCTCACAAAGCTGGGGACAGGGACGCCCTGTCACACCAGAACCGCTTGACGAGAGCAAGTCCCCACCTATTGCCTCCTTCACCCATTGCTGCTTCATTGGCCCTGTGAGGATGCTGCCATTTGCACTTGGACTAACTAAAGCTCAGGGAATCAAAGAGCTTGCCAGTTGCCAGTGATGGGGTTGGGATGTAAACCAGTTCTCATGCCCCAAGGCTAGGACCTTCTGGAATTAAACTCAGTCCGGTGCTCAACTCACTTGGAGAGTAGGCGGGCAGAGGTTCTGGCAGGCAGAAAAGGATGGCCTGGCATGGTCCTCTGATCAGAAATTCTCCCATCTTCTGCTTCCCAGGAATTTGCCAGTCAGAGCAGCTTTGTGGCATGGCTATACCCCTCCTGGGATACCTTCTCTCCCACCTCCAAGCCCCCTACTATCCCTCTTCTGGGTGACTTGGTCATCAGCGTCCTGGTGGTGTACAGTCTTAGGTGACAGGCTAAGGAGTCTGGATTTTATCCTCAGAGCTAGGGGGAGCCTTGAGGTTTATTTATTTTTTACTTTTTTTTTTTTTAGCAGGGATGAGGTATGGTCAGTTTTATGCTTTAGGCAAGAACACCTTGAGGTGTCACCTCCGCAGCACCCTTCCTGACTACCTCTTCCTTGTATTAGTCAGGGTTCCTGGTAATTTGGATAATTTG